GGTACAAATCCAGATGATTTAACCTCGCATTTATCTAGGAAGTAAGTTACCTCCCATAAGTTGTTTAAATATATAACAAGGGAGACAATGTTTATTTAAATGGATAAAATTTGAAAAAAGATTAACGCATTTATTAATAACGTAACTTAATATTTATTTTTTTAGTTTAATGTATTGCTACTTGCCTTATTACAAGTTGTATACCAATACTATTTTTTGATAATAAATTGTTTAAAATACTGAAGTAGTTTAAAACTAAAAACATTAGATTTATGTAAGGTATAGCATTGTCATTTAAATCAAATTTCTTTATTATTTATAGCGTACGTATTTGTTTAAAGATATAATTTTGGATCCCTTTTTTTAAAGGGACGATAGGTAAATGTAAACAAAGTCGGTTCTGTAAAACAGGGGTCGGCAACCTGTGACTCGCAAGCCGCATGCTGGTCCTTTGAACTCAATATGCCAGGGGTCGGCAACCCTTTGAGCCGAAAGAGCCAAAAGTTACAATTTACAACATTACCCAGCCTTTAATGAGCCACTAACATTTTTATGTCAATAGTATATTTGTTTAGGATTATATATATATATATATATATATATATATATATATATATATATATATATATATATATATATATATATAATCCTAAACAAATATCATACTATATATATATATAATTTTAAAAAAAAAGCTTTGAATAATTGAATATATGAAATAATCTCATTTTAATTTTTGTTGAGAGGATCTACTATGTAAGTAAGAGTACTTGCATTTGTTATGAATTGCTCAAATCTCTCAGTGAAAACATCCCTCATTTTGTTTATACTAATGCTGAAGTGATTGAATTGTAGCATTGGTTTTATAATGATATTTGTTTTTCAGATGTTTTTCTAATTAAGTAATTTACCGCTCACCATGTATTCAACAAAAAAGTATTTTTTTTCGAAACAAACCACTTCTTCAAGCAAGAAATAGACTGGGTTTTTTTCCTTTCAGTTTTACACTTAGCTGGTTTAGTTTCGTTGTGATATCCACTACGAAGTTGAATGTTTCGATTCCGAATGGACAATGTAATAGGAAATACACTGAGATAGGGAGTAACTAAATATTCTAATATAATAGTGAATGTGTATTGTTTATATCTTATGTTATATCGTTTATTACCGAGTGTTGCAGACTAATATTTGTATGAGTTTTGAAAATAAAATAATTATTAATATTTGTGTATGGAGCGGAAGAGCCGCAACTGGACACCCAAAGAGCCGCATGCGGCTCGCGAGCCGCAGGTTGCCGACCCCTGCAATATGCGGCTCTACAGTTCCATAATAATTATATTCTTTTATAAAAACTCAAAATATATTATACTGTGAAAGTTTATTTTCTTCGCTTCCGGTTTCATTTTGACGGGCAGTTTCAGACATTCTATACGACGTGCCTAAGTGCATGTGTGCGTGACTGCGTGCGTGCGTGTATATCCGTGCGCCGTGTTTGTGCGGCTGTGCGGGTGTGATGATATAGACTTTCCCGTTAGGATAACCGAGGCCTCTGTGATCCATATATCCTAGGATAAACAAGTTTAGAAACGCAAGACCTATTCGATCGGGTCCATTAGTCGCTGACATTTTGACGGGGTCGATTTGACGAGGCTCTTTTGTCGAGGCCGTTTTGTCTCGTCGTTTTGACGGGACGCTTTATCATTGGCCATTTTGACGCCGCCCGGAGGGAGGGAATAGGAAGTTTATTCTCCTCGCTTCCGGTTTCATAACGACAAGCCGTTCAGGCTACACGTATTGTTATTTACATTATTAACAATTTAATCAATACTAAATTTTTATAAGTAGTAGCCTAAAATACTAAAGCAGTTTAAATTTAAACACATTAGCTTTAAGTAAATAATAGTTTTGTCATTTAAATCAAATTACTTTTCTGAAAAGAGTAGGATAGTAGCCAATAGAAAGTTGATCGACGTTTTGTATTAGAAATCAAAAACATTTTCAAATATTATTGAAAATGTGAAAAATGGATATGAATGTTTTATATTAGATTTTAAACACAGTTGGATTGCTTTTTGATACATTTCAAGAATGTTAATAAAAAAATAAAAAAATAAAACATTTTAAAATAAAGAAGAAAAACAAAACGTGTAAAAATGGACAGTAAATGAATGCAAATGAAGTAGGATCAAAACATTACTTCTGTTCTTATTCTCCACCTTCACTGCCTCTAGAACAAGATTACTCTTAAAGTAACGTCTAACTTGGCAGTAACCCTCCTGTCGTTTACCCCCAGAACAAACCTCCAGTATAATTACATTCATCAACATCACAGCAAACAAAACACACGTAAAAGCGGGTATTTCGCTACCCGTAGTGTTTCTGCTACTTTGTTTCCTTTAGATTTTATACCGTTTATATTTTCTGTGAGCTAGCAATATTCAAGAAAAAAAATTATATTCTCTTACTTTTCTGCAGCTTAAGTCTTTTTGTGTGGTGAATTAAGAGTGTAACTTTTATATCGAGAATTGATCGGGGAGGGTGGGAGTGAGAAGTTTATTTTCCTCACTTCCGATTTCATTTTGACGGGCATTTTCAGACATTCTATAGGACGTGCGTGTTTGCGTGAGTGTGTGCGTGCGTGAGTGTTTGTGTATATAATATGCGCGCATGTTCGTTCGCGCGTGCGGTTATTCGGGTGTGATGATGTAGACTGTCCCATATGGATAACCAACGTGTCTCTAATTCAATAATCCTACGACGAACAAATTTAGTTTAGAAACCAAAGACCACAAAAGACAATTTTGAATCGTCTTTAACAATAGCATGTAGTATAATTTAAAGAAAAATCGATGATGCCATATACTGATATGGAAAAAAAATAATGCTCAAAGCAGAAAATATTAGGGACTTGTATACACAGGCATTAAAAGTGATTTCGCAAATCTAAATTTGGTATTTATGTAAATTTTTAATCTTGCGATTAAATAGGCTCTAAGTTGCCTCCCATCCGGTATTTAAATAAGATTAAGGGAGACAATGTTTTACTAAATAGCTATAATTTTTTTTTAAATCGTTGACGCAATTACAGACTACTCAACTTAAGATTTATAATACTACAGTACACGTATTTATATTTATTTTATTAACTTTTGTAATCAAATACTAAATTTTAATAAGTATTAGCTTAAAATTTTGAAGTAATTAAAACTTAAACACATAAACCTTAGGTAAGGAATAGCTTGGTCATTAGAATCAAAATACAGACATTGTTGGCATTAAATTTTCGAAATAATTTAAATTTTGGATCCCTTATAATAAGGGACAGTAAATTAATACAAACAAAGTAGGTGCTGTAACATGAGCTATGTTCTCCGCCTCTCATGAATAGATATTTAAATAATAATGTGTCTTTTACTTTTTAGTGCATTATATCAAAAAGGTTGTTATTAAAACTTTTTTTAAAGATTTTTTATTCTGCTACTCAGTTTATGTTTCCTTTTGATACAGTTTACTATTTGGTATTGTTATTTTCTAATTTGTCTGCAAATTAATCTTTATTGAGGTTGTTAAACTAATAATATAAGTTTAATATTGAGAATTATTCGGGGGAGGGGGTGGTGAGAAGTTTATTCTCCTTGCTTCCGGTTTCACTTTGACGGGCCGTTTCAGACATTTTATACGATGTGCGTGTGTGCGTGAGTGTGTGCGGGCGTGCGTGTGTATATATACTAATAATAAATACCAAATATTAATTTTTTTATAAGCAGTAGTTTAAGTAGTTTAAAATTAAACATATTGCCTTTAAGTGCAGAATAGTCTGGTCATTATAATACTATTACTTTCTAAAGAATATATCAACAATGTAAAATTTTGATCCCTGATAAAAAGGGACAGTAAATAAATGCAAAAGAAGTCGGTTCTTTACAACACTGCATTATTTTCGTTAAGTGCCTCCCTAAAAATTGTACTCCTAAAGTAATGTTTAACTTGTTTGTCATTTACCCCCAGATCAAACCCCCAGTATAATTACATTCATCTACATCACTGCAAACAAAACACAAGTAAAAGCGGGTACTTCACTGTCAGTAGATTTTCTGCTACTTTTTTTCTTTTCGATTTGATTCCAGTTACTATTTTGTATTGATATTTTCTAGTTTTCCTTCAACTCAAGTCTTTCTACGGCGTTGAAGTAATACTAGATCTAAATGTTTATTATTGAGAATTTTTTCGAAGATGGAGTAGATATGGAGTTTAATCTCCTCGTTTCTGATTTTATTTCTACGGGTCGTTTCAGAAATTCTGAACCTCATGCGTGTTTATGTTAGTGTGTGCATGTGTATATGAGCGTGGAAATGCGTGCACGCGAACGCGTGCGGTTGTGCGGGTGTGATGATGTAGACTTTCCAAAATAGATAACCCAGATATCTCATGATCCATATATCCTACAATAAATAAGTTTAGTTTACAAATCCAAGACCACAATATAGAATCGTCTTTAACAATAGCATGTAGTAAAATGTTAATAATCCAACTATAATCTTATCTGCTGATGTGAAAACAATGTATGTTAAAAGCAGAACATATAAGGGACGTGTACATAATAGCCTCTTATGTGATTAAGGAAAAGTAAATTTAGATACAAATGCAGATGATATTTAATCTCGCGTTTGCCAGGGCATTATGTTACCTCCCATTGGTTATTAAAACATAACAAGGGAGACAATGTTTAACTAAATAGTTACAATTTTAAAAAAACATTAACGCAATTATTGATAGCGCAAGTTAAGAACTGTAATGTTATTATAAACGTATTAATGTTTAGTTGATTAAAGTGAGTAATAAAATACTATATTTTGATACGCAGTAGTTTAAAATACTGAAGTAACTTAAAATAAAACACAGTCAATTTACGTAAAGAATAGTCTTTTTATTAAAAATACCTTATTTCCTCTCAAGTGTATTTTTAAATAATCGATATATTAATTTTGGATCCCTAAATTGCATATTCTACCAAAATAATGACATACTTCACATCATGGGAAGAATTTGCTAAAGCTGCAGAGCGTTTATATTTAAATGATGCTTTAAAATGTCGCTTTGTAACCAAATACAGACATTGTGATGGGAAACTTACTTTGAAAGTTACAGATGATAAAGTGTGTCTTCAGTACAGGACAGAACATGCTCAGGATATTAAAAAGCTTGAAAAATTGACTGGGCAGCTAATGAGGCACATGGCCTCTAAGGAAAAATAATCTGCAATTGACACTGAGTTTTTCTAGATATAATGGTGCAATTTTTCAATACCACAGTGTTGATAGGAAGCTGTGGAACATTTTCAGTGCAGCAAAAACCTACCCAATATTGGGCTTTTTAATTTAAGTGGTGCAAGATTGATCTTTTTAATGTTATGTAAGTCATTTAATATTTATGATAGTTGAAATGTTTGAGTGATACCTCTTTTGTTATAATTAAACTAGAATACCCGTCATCCGTTGGATAACTGTGGGTTTCGGGGGTCATCCATCAAAAAACATCACGTCTGTCACTCAGAGGCATAGCGACCCTTCCCGGCGCCCGGGGACAAAGTTTTCGATTTGAACCCCCCCCCCCCCTCAAACTTTTGATGTGCACCCCCCCCCCCCCCACTCAAACTTTCGATTTGAACCCCACTCAACCTATCAATTTATTTTTCCAAACCATTTTGGCGCCCCAACATATGTCCCCCCCCCCTTCCCCCCTCCACCTCCCCACCCCCGCCTCCCCTTCCCCCCCCCCCGCCTCCCCTCCCCACCCCCCGCCTCCCCTCCCCTACCGTCCCCCCCCCTCCTCGGTACGCTACTGCAGTGTCACTTATCGTCACAAAAAACAGACCCCACATTCAAATATATGTTTTTTATCTTTTAAAAACACCGAAAACACCGATTTCGGACTATCCCTTTATAAACTGACGTCACAGGTGACCTACTCAACTCTACTTCACCTGCCCAGTGTCCTGCCAAGTCTCAGACAACATGTTTTTATCGTTTAAAAAACAATTCCAGCCGAGCATGTATCTGACCACACTATCCTTTCATATGCTTAGGACAAAGAAACAGATGAACTCTACTTCACCTGCCCTGTATCTTGCCAAGTTCAGATAGGCAACGTTATCATTCACATCTAAAAAAAAAAATTGAAAAAAAAAATTTCATTGACATATTGGTCTAGAACCCGTGCCTCCTGCATGAGAGCTGACTACGCTACCATTTTAGCTATTTACTCGTGACGTCACAAGTGAATTTTTATACTATACTATGTGTCTCCTTATGCAACTTGATTTACGCGTATAGATTCTAGATCTAGATCTAAAAATAAGTCTAGTAGTACTAACTTTCAAATTAAATTTTATCTTAAATAAGCCAAACAAAGATTTATATAAAATAATTAAGGCCTGAAATAGATTCTAGATGTAGAATTTACATTGAATCTAGTGACCTACATCTAGGCTAGATCTAGGCTAGATTCATAAATTTCCTTCGATAGCTGATCTTTAGATCTAGAGAAATTTATCGTAAAACTAAATGAAAAAGACAGTTGAAAATTGATATAAGTGTTGGAACGTAATAAATACAGCAAACGGACGTATTGTTAAAGTTATGACCGACAGAAAATTAGATTTAGAACGCGTTAAACTTTTGAATGGGAACACAATTTTCTTCAATAGACGCCGCCATTTTATTGTACTAAAGAGTAAACAAAAACCTGTGACGTCACTATTCCCACAAAGTTTAGTCTAGGTTTTAACATTTTAAAAAAAAATGGGTTATTCTGCGTAGGAATAAATCAATAAATTAATTAACGTCTTTAAATAAATTTGTGATCAACAGTCTGTCTGCATTAAAAAATTATTCTCTACCTGCATACCATTTTACAGCTTTCCAGATAGAGTCGAACATATCACAATTTTCGATCAGGCAAACAAACAAATAAATATTCAAACATGTAAACAAAGTTGACTTTTAGTAGTATATAGATGACCAAAAGAAGCTTGAAGCAAAAAAAAAAAAAAAAAAAAAAAAAAAAAAAAAAAAAAAATTGAAAGGGATAGTTACAGTAAATAAATCCAAACGAAGTATGCTCTGCAAAATCATCCTCGTTTCTTTTCTCCTCGTTCAGTACCTCACTAACAAAATTAAGTTATGTATAGGCAGTAACCCTTCGGTCGTTTGCCTCAGATCAAACTTCCAGTATAACTACATTCATCAACATCACAGCAAACAAAACACACGTAAAAGCGGGTACTTTACTATCAGTAATTTTTCAGCTGCTTTGTTTCGTTTAGATTTTATACCAGTTACTATTTTCTGTGAGCTACCAATAATCCAAGGATAAATTGAAATTTTCAAATTTGTCTGCAACTTAAGTCTTGTTAAGAGGTTGAAATAATAGTGTAAGTTTGATATTGAGAATCATTCAGGAAAGGCGGGGGGGGGGGGGGGGGGGGAGTTTATTCTCCCCGCTTCCAGTTTCACTTTGACGGGCCGTTTCCGTAATTCTATACGATGTGCGTGTGTGCGTGCGCGTGTGTGTATATGTGTGCGCGCGTGTTCTTGCGGGCGTGCGGGTGTTTTAGATACTTTTAAATCATTCTTTATTACGAATCAAATTATGGTTTAGTTCCCTCTTCGATTATAAAATGTAGGCATATTAACGAGTGAGTTCAGACACAGAAGGCAGTGTGAGTAGAAACATGAGTTCACGAGTGTGTTTGACAATATTGTGATCTAAACTAACACACACTCCACTAGTTCAACAAAACCCAACTACAAAACAACAATAGAAATTATATACAAATTGATACTTCTGTTTAAAAGTCTTTTTTCTTTTTTAATTTAATTTGTTTGATAGTTTTGAACCCAGCCTGTTTATTATATTTCGTAATAGTTCCTGCCAAATTACAATTTAAAGTAATAATTTTTTCTTAAATATAAATTAAAATTTTCTATCATTTTCAATTGGTCGGTTGACTTGATCTGCGGCGAAATGATTATTTTTTAAAGACGTGAACGTGAACGTGTGTGCCTGTGGGTTGTGTGGTGGGTGGCTTGTGGTACATACAAGTAAATTGTTATTATATTTGTCCCCTGAATTTATTTTTATTAACAACTTTCATTTATAAAGGCTGTAAAGAAGAAAATGTAATGATAAATAAAAAACAAGAAGCATGAAAGATTAAATATAAAAATATCAGCATTCAACGCATTGTCTATTCTTTGCTAGAAGCTATTAAATTATGTAGCCTACAGTCATTTATTTAAATTCATAAATCTTTGTGTAAGTCTTTTAAAACGCAGCTCACACAAAAACAACATTTTCCACACCAGTTTTCTACCCTTAGAGAGAACGTTGTGGCCCACGTATCTACCACTATTCTACTTTGATAACTTCAACACAATACAGCTGGGACTACCACAAGCATGATCTTCATCGTTAAAATAAACACGAACACAGCACAAAAACACACAATCACACAGACACTTGCACACGATAACACACACACACACAGTTACACACACGCACACAATTACACACACAAAGTCACACACACACACACTATCAAAACACACACATGCACAAAATACCACACACACACAGTCACACACACGCACACAATCGCACACGCACACAATTACACAGTCACACACACACACACTATCAAAACACACACATGCACAAAATACCACACACACACATTCACACACACGCACACAACCGCACACACACACAGTCACACACGTACACACAAACACAGTCTAACACATACAATCACACATACTCACACTTGCGTTAATCGTAGTGAAAATTGTATATGAAAATTGTATAAATGATTTCGCAAAGGAGATTGGGTGCAAATGCAGACGATTATATTTAAAAGAGCAATAAGAAGTAAAAGCGGGAACTTCACTCTCATTAGTTTTTCTGATACTTTTTTTTTCAGTTAGATTTGACAACAGTTACTATCTTCTGTGAGCTACCAATAATCCAAGGAAAATATCGTAATTTTCTAATTTGTCTGCAACTTAAGTCTTGATATAGCGTTGAACTAATAGTTCAATTTGGATTCGGGGATGGAGCGGGTGGAAAATTTATTCTCCTCGCTTCCTGTTTCACTTACACGGGCCGTTTTAGACAATCTATATGACGTGCGTGTGTGCATGAGTGTCCGTGAGTGTGTGTATGCGCGTGTGTGCGTTTGTATATTCGTGCGTGCGGTTATGGGTGTGATGATGTAGACTTTCCAAGATGGATAACCGATGTTTCTCAGATCTATCTATCCTACGATGAATACCTTTACTTTAAAAACCCGAGAACACAGTGTTGAATCGTCTTCATTAATAGCATGTATTTTTATGTAAACAAGCAAACGACAATCCCATCTGCTGGTGTGGAAAATAAATGAACTGTTAAAAGCAGAAACTATAAGAGACTTGTACATACATGCCTTGAAAGTGATTTCGGAAAGGTAATTTGGGTACAAATACAGATGATTTAATCCCGCCTTTATCACGGCAAAAAGTTACCTCCGATTGATAATTAAACCATAACAAGGGAGGCAATGTTTAACTAAATGGTACCAATTTAAAAAACATTAATGCAATTATTGATAAAGCTTCTTAAGAACTATATTGTCAGTATAAACGTATTATTGTCTACTTTATTACAAAGTATAATCAAATACTATATTTTGATAAGCATTTGTTTAAAATACTGAAGTAATTTAAAAATAAATACAGTCGATTTACGTAAAGAATAGTCTTGTCATTTCAATTACTTTACTTACCATGACAGGCATAATTTTCGCGCTAAACTATAAATTTTGGATCCCTGTTTGAAAGGGATAGTTAATAAATGAAAATAAAGTAGTTCAGCAACATCACCCCTGTACTTATCCTCCTCGTTCAGTGCCTCCCCAACAAAATTACTCCTTAAGTGATGCCTTGGCTATAATCCTTCTGTCGTTTGCCTCAGATCAAACCTCCAGTATAATTACATTCATCAACATCACAGCAAACAAAACACAAGTAAATGCGGGTACTTAACGAAAAAGCAATGTAAACAGAAAGTGTTATTTCAACGCCAAGGGTAGACAAAGGTACAGAATATAGTCCAAGTTAAGACAGAACAGACAGACCCGACGGGTTCCGAACCTACCACTCCTCACGGCACCGAATCGCCTCGCCTTCCATGCATCAAGTCAGACGTGTAACCGATTCTGCCAATCAGCTCTACTAAAATAAAGCTTTCATGGCAGAGCACAATCACAACCTATGCACGAAAGACGCGGGCTGGCGTGACCTTTGAACCGCGAATGGGACTGACCGTTAGCCTCAAACACAACAAGGACCATTATTCGACCACACAGGCGACACAAGTATAGGGACGACGATACAGACAAATAGTAGCTTCCTTAAATGGGTATAGTGTAAA